TACCCGATGGTTAGAGACACTGAATGATATGATTGGGTGTCGTAAACAGTGGCGTTTGTGCATCTTCTCAATTTCTTTGCAGCCTTGGTCCATTGAAATTCTTCATTTTCTATTCATTTTCACTTTCAACTTTCCTTTCTTTCTTCTGCTGTTCATTGAAATGGGCAGCCGAAAGATAGCTACCAAAACTGGCGCACGATAGTGCATGGTAATGGTTGTGTAAACTGAAGAAAACTGAGAAACTGTGAACAGATTGCACACATTCATACCAGGTCTTAGCGTGACCCTCCTCTTTTTTCCGCTTACTTCCTGTCAATGAAGTCTTCCATGTTACATGCCTTAGTGAACGAATTCAGTGGGTGTCGAGCGCTAGCTCTCAGTCTGCATCAAACCTCTGCATTGACTTGTACAGTGCGGTGCAGACAGCTGTATTCGAACCCCGATATTGTATCCTTTTCCTGTTCTCGTAACTGTCGGATCTCTGCAGAACATCCCCCACCACCTACCATTTAATGTCGCTACTACGCCATAGATGTCTCCACTCGACGAACACTATCCAAACCTTCCCTTTGGGTACCGACACCTTATGCGTGGTAAACTCACTGTGATGCAGCTGCCTAAGGAGCAATATTTGTCTTACATCTCTTTCGCTTCCTCAATGAGAGTGAGCTTGAGCACTCTACCAACCCACTTTCAAAATCTCTCGAGAAAATATTGTGATGTGGACTGCACACTGGAAATCCGTCCTAGTGATTGAGTGACGCGCAGATCCCAAAGTCAACAGAAGACGGGTTTGTCTTGGAACGCGGTACTGTTATAGGCAACGAATGGTTAATATAAAAAGGCACAAACCTCAAGTCAAGGCAACCCGGGGAGTGCGTGTTTGCACTGTCAGGACGCAACCAAATGAGAGTGCGCCGTCATTGAAATGGTTGAGATTTACACTTAGAACAACATTACAAAATGAGCTTTCAAAGGCTGTCAAAGCGTTCAACTCAACGATTGTGGGTGCGTGCAGTTCAGTCAGAGTCAACAATCAGAATGCCTTAGGTGGGAAGCACAGATGCACAAGAGTCCAATGGCTGACAGCCATCCGATAAAATGTACGGGGTCAGAATCCCAAGGATTGACATACACAGACCGCCCACAAAAATGGGCGGTCTGTGTATGTCGATCGGTGGATGCCAAATGGGTTACGTGTAACGAGAGCGTAAAGTAATGAGGGCGAGCAACTTATGTCGGTGATACGAATCACTGGCAAGAGAACAAAGTCGAACCGATCGATAGACCCACTGGATCAACTCAGGCGTAACACTGTCAATGGGAAAGAGGAAGAAATGACACAAATCAAGAGATAGTGAAGGATGGCTGGGGGCAGGTACATGCGATTTGGAGTATTACCAAGGGAAGTCTGTTTGGATAGCCAAACGGATTCAACAACGCTGCTGCAAAATTTTATACTTTGAAAGGGCTCGCATGTACCAAACATAGATAGCTACGAGGATAGTCGAATTTGTAGAATCATATATGGTACAACATTCAAGATGAAACCTAAGAGAGGGTAGCCCCCGTAACTAACGCTTTCCGTATTTAACTCGGATGAAAAGAGCCGTGAACTTCAATTCTATTTCCATTGGTAATATACAAGGATCGCCACCGTAGAGTTAACCTCCCCTGGTACTCCCTTCAAGAAGGAACATCGCTAATCATCGCGTGATTGACAGTCAAAGACCGCTTTCAGATGGAGGGAAACAAGTATTGAGTCTTCGAGAGCGTCTATCTTCCGAACTTTAGCGAACAATTAATATTTGGGCAATGCAACCGCAAAGTCTAAGAGCAACCCGATTTTAACGCGGTACCATATTCGACCTAAATCAATGGAGTATGATGCCAGCGACAAGTTTCGAGATGATATTGGTCAAAGTTAAATTTATGGTTCTCATAGAGAACCTATCTCCTTGTAGGCTGGTGAGCTGACCAACTGCGGAAACCTGGTCACTTTCCTATATTGTTCCCTAGATTTCGGAGCGGAATCTTTATATGCATAAGTCGATGGGGACAGCTCATTCAGACCAAGGACCTTATTTGTTTAAAGGTAACTCCCGAATACTTCATCGTTAAGCAGAACACAATGAGGTGGGCTTCGCTGATCGTTGTCAGACTCGAAATACATACAAAGTTGGTGATAATACTTGAGGTTGATAGGAATTGGGCTATAATGAAGAAAACGGAAGGCCAATAAACAACTGTGGTCAGCAGACAGAACACAATATTCTGACCTGATAAAAAGTTACAACAAGAACACCGCACTGCTGAGGATAATCGCCATATCTTTCATTGCTAGTAAACTAGTTGCAGAATCTTCTAAACTCGAACCACGAAGAACAGAAATCTCCGCCCAAATGCCTTTCTCCATGCCTTGTCTCCACGGAGCGGCTACAGCTAATAAAGCAGAGTGCAGTAGACGACCGCTGGGCATACACAGTACTTGTCCTAATCAACAACGCTTANTCCAGTTGATAAATATCTACCCTCAAACTCACGGTTTTACAGTCACGAAGCCGAAATGAACGACCGGAGGCACAAATTCAGTGACAAATGAAGTTAATACCGAAGGTGTTTCAGTCCTACGTACGCTGCTCGAGCCTTGAAAATGCGTGCGGTTATCTCCTTCAAGGTTCTGCCGACATTAGTTACACAGTTACCGTAGTAGGAGAAGCAATTCACTAAAACTAATTTCTGGCCATTTAGTTTCAAAGCAGAACTGGGTGACACTCAGTATTGTGGCATCACCAAATGAAGTAAACACTTGTTAGTCTATCAAGTGCGCTTTGCGCGTTCTACATACAATTGAACGGACAGACGATGTTATAGGCGTATTCTGAGTGGCATAGCTTTTGTCAAGCTACCCAACAAATGCCAACGTTTTTGAGACCACTAAGTAATGTCTCATGCAGCAGTTCGTTCCCTCTGAGTCTGAACTCGAGTGTGAACTGAATGAGCGACTCAATGTGATCGTTTAAATGGGCGTTTGGATCATATTAGACGAGCACGTACCCGAAATTCGTCCGAAGCACAGCATTTCAAATTTTACAACCATTAATCATGCACTATCGTGCGCCAGTTTTGGTAGCTATCTTTCGGCTGCCCATTTCAATGAACAGCAGAAGAAAGAAAGGAAAGTTGAAAGTGAAAATGAATAGAAAATGAAGAATTTCAATGGACCAAGGCTGCAAAGAAATTGAGAAGATGCACAAACGCCACTGTTTACGACACCCAATCATATCATTCAGTGTCTCTAACCATCGGGTACGACCATTTCGAGGTCCCAAACCAGGGAGCCTAACGGGACCTGTGTGATCTAAACTCCTGGTTACGGTTTTCATACCCTAATACCAGGTATTAGTTTGACCACCTTGGGTTTTCTTCCATCCACTACCTGCCTCGATAAACATCGCTCGCCGTGGCAACCTATTTGGAGACATGCGCAACACATGCCCTGACCAACGTTATCTATGAAGGTCGACCACTTGCTCCAGTAGGCGACCGTGACTACCTAAAACTCAACGCCTAACCTCAGCACTGCTCGTCCGGCTGCCCCACCAGATTCGTGCAATGCTACGTAGACAGCGGTGTTCAAACACCGACAGTCTATCTTTATCCTGCTTTCTTAATGGCCAAGTTTCTGCTCCATATGGCACAATTGGCCGAACTGCTGCAGCATACACTCAACCCTTCACAGATAGCCGGATGTCGGGACGGCGCCACAGGTGTCTCAAGTTGGCAAATGCCAACCGAGCGTTCCGTGTGCCAGCTGACACTTCATCCGTGATGCGTCCACCGGGTGAGATGTAGCTACCCAAGTAACAAAACTTACCC